GCAGGAACTCTTCAGAAGCAGCAACGTTGCGAGGTTCCATCGCTGGTTCGCTTTGGCAATGCAGGGTGGCTGCTTCCTGACCCAGGTGCGACCTCGCACATCTGCAGAAAGCACCGCTGCACTTTGCAAAAACCGGGAAGTAAAGAACTCCATGGCCAGCTTCAACGAGTCACGTTGAATGTGCGCATGTAGCACGGCATCGTCTCGGCCAGCTGCTGCACACGGCCAGACCTGGCTTAGGACGCTCGTCCAAAAAGCAATAGTCGTGAGCCAGTAACCAGACTTGTTGACGCAAGATGCAAAGGTCTCGTCCATGTCAAGCGTTTTAGATAACTAGGGCGTAACATGTAGAAAATTTCCTGCAAGCACTCTGCTGAGGTCTTGCTGTCAGCGGTCCTCGATGGTAAGAAATGGCTTGCACTACGAATGCTTCTTAAAAGCAGGCCAGCATCAGAAAAGAACCAGATGCAGTCATGAGCTGGTGCTATTAACACGCGCAGGCTTCCGGGCAATATTCGAAAGCAAATTTAGTTCGGGTCAAGCTTCCGTTTCCTACCGGGCTTGAGGGATGAAGGGAGTAGGGACTAGCAGCGAAGCAGCAGCACGGACAGACACCGTTCTTTTGCCGTTGGCGAAACCAGTCGTTCAGTCAGAGACCGTGTTCGGCATTCGGACTGGAGATCCAAAACCAGGCAGAAGATCATCTGCCGGACGCGGCCTACCTGAACCGGACCAGTTGAAGTTGGTTCGGCCGGAAGTCCAAAAATTTGTCAAGCTGGCTTGACAGGACCACGGATACAGGCCCAAACACCAACTCAGGCCAACGCAGATAGATAGCGAGCGAGGTCATTTTGAAAGCCGGGCACGTGTTCAATGGAGACGACAATACCGTACCACTCCTGCAGGCGCAAAAATCGCCCAAGCACATGGCACAGACCGCGCGCGATGGATTCACATAAGCCTTTCCATGAAGCAGCCTCGGCGGTACAGTTGTCGCAGCGAAAACACACGTGGACCGGAGAGCGGAAGACTTGGTGGTTCCGGCGGACCCTTTGGGGTAGCTGCACCGAGTCCTTAAAACTCTTTTGCAGCACGTTGTGCTGAATCTAGTTTATCCGTTCGTAGACCACAGCCCTAGGTTCCTCTTTCTCTCTCTTCTTGTGCTGTTCAGAAAGTTCGCTTGCAACTGTTGCACCATCTCTTGCTGTGACGTCAGGATTACCGACTGGCTTGTTCATGCGCGCTTTGCGCAAACCTCTGTTGCATCAAGTGCGTCTGAGACGTGTGCTTGCTGTGCTTCCCCCAACTCTCTTCTGAGTCTTGTGTCGCTGACTAGGAACTGTTGGTTGGGCTGCGAACTGTTGTTGGGCTGCCGCCATCTCTGACATCAAAGTTTGCTCTGCTCCAAGGCGGCGATTCCGCATTCCGCGGCCTGTTCGACTGACTCAAGGGACTGCCTGTATGTAACACGTCACCTCTGCCCTTGCCTCTAGTTCCTCTACCTCCAGCCCTACCTGCGGCATGTGTACTTCCAGGGTTTGTGGCGCGTAAACATTGTACTGTTGATAGACAGCTGGTGGGGCACCGGAGCTGAGGGACGGACCACTCAGGATCGGACTTATTATCGGCAAACTTAGACTAGGATTACTGTCCCTCTGCCTGCATCTGCACGGTTTCCCATCCCTGGGAGCTGGAGGGGTGCTTGTGTGTTCCCTTCCATTGTGAACCGAAGACAGAAGTAGCCTGGCGATGGTGGAATCTCTGTAGGTACCAATTCAGGAGAACTCATGCACTGATTGCCAAATGCAGTTGCTAGATACCACACCTTCGGCTTTACGGCTGATAACCTATTTTTGGCACTCGCGCTCGATGAGGTCAGGCAAGAAGCCCAGAAGACAGCATCTAGACCAACAGAGTCACATTGAACTCCCAGAAATGCATATCCCAGTACATGCCGTGCCCTAAGCACCTCTAACATACTCTCTTCACGAGCAAAACTCATAATGCCACACCGAGGGCGTTTCACCCATGCCTCGCACTGTGTCCAGCGACTCTCCCGAAAACACGTTCTTCAGCAAGTCTACCGTATACCCTAAGGACATTTCAGTCAGATCACACAGCCTGTTGACTGAAGTGCTGGTCTCAACCCGGCGCTCATCCAGACAGGATCTCCGAAGCCGGGCACAGTGCAAGAGGCAGCATGTCATCCACCGTCCTTGACCAGCAAGTCAGAAGAACTCATTTTGTTCCTCACTACTTGCAGGGTCCACTGTGGTGACTGTCACCGCCTGAAGTCGCGACAGTCTGTTGATTCGCAGCCAGCACGCAACAAAACAATGTCCCCGCTGGTTCGGAGGGTCAGTCTTGGTTCAAGCCAAGCCCGATGTGACGTTCAACTCCTTCCAGCAGGCTGCATCAAAGTGTATTACGCTAGGCAGCATGCCTCCGGCGTCCAAGACCAGCTTGCACACCCCATCAGGGTGCGCTCTCTCTGCTTCGCCCACCCCCTTGCAGGCTCCCCACATCCAGTCTGTGGGCGTCTGCATGCGGTTGCCACTTCAGGCTTGTTTCCGTCAGAAAAGCCAGCAGCTCATCGTAGCTCATTGTACGGAGCTGCTTTGGTAGCCCATTGTCTTCCAAAGTGCTGCTGACTGCTCCAACAGTTAAACAAACCACGGCCAGCAGACGCGATGGCCGTGCTCCAGAAGCTTCCAGAAAACCTGTCCATGCACCATCATCCCATTGTCGTTCCATTCATATGTCAGGCTCCAGACTTCTAGGAGACTCGCCAGTTCATGCAGGAGTATATTTGCAAGGGCCGAGGTGGTCTTCGGGCGACCAACCAGCTGCTCCGTGCAGAAATATGTGGGGATAGACCCACAGGCCTGCCATCAAGGCTCCGAAATGTGGACCGGAGGAGTAAACCCCCTTGGCAGGTGTCATCCCCGTTCACCGCGAGAATCCATCTCAGTTGCGTCAAAAGCCACCACATCATCGCAAGCGACGGAGGAAAAACAGTGCCGGGAGCGAGGGAGGGAAAGAAGGACAAGGGCAAATGTGAGGGAAAGGGAGTAAGGCAGCAGAGGTGCGCAGACAGTGCAAGGCTGCAAGGAAGCAAGGCAGTGCAGAAACAGTTGCGACTCTCTATGTCTTCCTTCTCAAGGCACAACGCCAACGTACATGTGAACATGAACTCATGCATGTACTGGACCTATCGCCGGTGCACTGCAGAAGCAGTCGTGGCTTGTGGTCTGTCGCCAGTTCTCTTCTTTATCGCTTCTTTCTCATGAAGCATTGCCGCCAGCAAACAGTTCTACATACAAACTGAAAAGGATACATTAAATGTGCAGGATACAAGACAGGACTACACAGGAGATCTACGGTAACCAACAGAAATATGTAAGGGCTAGGCTGATAACCGATAGATCGAAGAATACACTTGTACACGCAGGCACTGATGATATATCGGCAAACTATGCTTTCCTGCTAGTGCACTATGCCACGGTCCAACGCACAAACGGTATAACGAACACATGCACAAATTACAGGAACTCTGGCCTCAGAGCTGGATACTCTGAATGGGAGGTGCAAGCGAAGCTTAAGCTTATGGTTTAAATCTTAAACCAAAGAGCTTACACCCGACAGCCTGCACAATCCTCCAACAACTCAAGTGTAAGAAAGGTTTATGCTACCGGTTAACGACAGCAACACAAGTTGCGCAGAAACGTTCCCACTTGTATCGATTGGGGCCGACCGTCTCCTAATATGATGCGATTTCCGGTTGGGGCCGCCTGAGCTAGAGGATAGTGCACCTATCGCAGAACATGTAGAAGTAGGAGCAGCAGCAGTAGGAGCAGTAGTCGTCGGGGGGGCTCGGCCTGAGAGTTTCGACATTGACAAAAGCAGCGACCAAAGCCAAGCCTACGAGGACAGCAACAACCACAAGTCCAGAAGCCAGGGAGCCCGGGTGCCCGGAATAGACCAACGAGGAGCTAGTTACAAGCAGCATCTGGCTTGCAAAGCCAGGAAGGGCGGGCCTTGTCTGTCGTCAGCGCACGCCCCGTCTGGCAATAGGGGAAGAGTGCCTCCTCGATAGCTACGGCATTGACAAAGATGTCTGCATCCTGGCAAAGGAGGCCAAACACATGATCGACAAAATGCAAAAGCACCCCCACCACGACCACTCATGTCAAGCATCGTTGTCAAACTGTTGCATGTCAATGTCCATGTCCTCCCACAACGTCTCGAGTTCGCGCAGCTGCATATAACACACATGCCGGCTAGCTCCTGCAGGCCTTTGGAAGATGCCTCGTAGCCGTACCTGGAGCTGTGAGACGCGACCTACTTGTAACCATCAGAGACTGTACGAGCACACGGGTCACGCAGGCAAGATCTCGAGTTTGGTCTTCTCCAAGATTAAGTCCAGCTCTGCCTGCGAGAATCGACACCGGTCAATCGGACACTCTACTTGCATTTGCACAGTCGAAGCCAAAAACGGTAATGACGCCGTCCGGGCAGCCCTGCTGTCAGCATCGTGTAGGTGTGTGAAATGCTTTCTGGACATCTCGGCCAACTTTTTCTGGAAAGCAGGGGCAGAGAATGCTCCAAGGAGCTCTGCCTGAAAGGCCAGAGCCCTTGCCTTCGACAGAATTCTCTTCTCGGTCGGCGGTACGGGCAGCTCCTGCGAAACCTCTTGAGGCTTGTCATCAATGAATGACTCCGAGGGCGAGGACTTCAAGCCCAACAGCTTCCACAGCTTCTGCACCTTGTCTTCGAGGTCTGGAAATTTCTGGAAGATCAGTACGATGGGCCGGAGGCGCTCCACACCAGTCCCGGACTTAAAGCCGTATCGAGCAAAGATGTCGGCATGGCACTCCTCCGCCAATGCCCAGCGGCATGGCGACTCGTCGCAAACTTCACCTTGCTGGGCTTCCTTCTGCAATATGTCGCCCAGCTTGTTCTGGAAGCTCTTGGTAGAGTACTCGCCAACCAGCCTAAGAATCACAGACGGGATGCTATGCTTCTTGCTGTTTGTAACTCCCACGAAGCGCAGCAGTGAGTCGTGTTTCTTTGCCGACTGCGTCGGTGCGCAGAACGATCATGACCAACTTATGTTCTTCGTGGCACCATGAGGCACGGGATAATTAATGCATCAAAAAATCGGATGGCAGCTCATTTTCGCCGCCACGCAAACATGTGAAACGGCTTGCATGCTACGTCCACGACTTGCTAGTGAAGGCTAGAAGCCTGCATAAGCTTACACTCGTCGTTTGCAAGAACATTAACGGCCCATCCGAAGCCCAAGGGTGCGAGTGCAGTACAGCCAAGAGGCTCCATGAGCATCGCCTTTGCTCGTGCCCGCGTCATCTTCTGCACTTGTGCATCATCCCGACACCCAGCCATGGCGTCGCTCCGAAGAAAAGACTATGGTATCAGGGCTGTGTTTAAGATGCCAGCCCTTGAGTGAAAGCAGCGAAAACCGGCATCTCCCGTAACCACAGGAACAATTACAGCTGCATTCTCGACACCTGGAGCTGTATTTCGCCGCGCGCATGATACAGTAGGACACTTGGGTCAGGCAAACAAAGTCCTCGGTCCCTGGGCAAAAGGCGACGGAGCTCCGGCTACGATATCGCCACGTCTGACGTCAGAACGCGAGGTGCAAGTACTTCCCCGATTTTCTTCCATTGCTGATGGCAATACAGATGTTGCATGACTGCTTTTGCCCTACATGCAACTCTCGAAATTTCGAACCATTTCATTGCGAAGAAACTGCCGGGCGAGTCTGACCACATCTATCAGTATCTATCTAGTGTCGCTCTTTCTCTCGTGTGGTTGAGTGCCTTCTTCGCGACACCCGTGCTTTGGTGTCCCATCAACCTGGGGTCTTCGCAGAAAATTTCGGCACTCAGCACAGCCAACCCACCAACTTTCAATTATCTAGCTAGCTGTCTATCTATCTATCTGTTGGATAGACATGGAATGACTCCAGCGGCCCGTCAGCTTGAAATTTGACGAAAGCTCGAATTACTGTACGGCTCGGAAAAGTATGGACCGAAGGACTACCGACAAAAGCTCAAAGCGATTTAAGCGGCGCGCGGCTAGGGTCACCAAAGGTCCCCCGCAAGCTCCCGAGAATTTTCTAGAGGCCGCGAACGATGCTTTCTCTCTCTCGCTGCCGTGCCATCCTCAAGGGTCTAGTCTAGGATTTCGACTCTCACACTCGCACAAGGCAAGCAAGGCGGTCTAGGGTTTCGGGGCATCAGATGCTTTGCATGTTGGTATTGTTGATCCTTACTCCTCTCTCCACCTGTTCTCTTGTCGTTCCTCGAACGACTTTTGCATTGACGATTGCTCGCCCCCGCGACATCTTCAACTAGATGCCCGGGCACTAAACACTGCGAACTCTGTTGCGGCTCAAGATCTGACAGCAGCGCAGCAAAACAGTGTAGCCGCCCATCAAGAACACTGCGCCCGTCTCTGCATGCCACCGGATGACTTGGCAAGGAGTCTACGGCCAGGCGGCACGGACTTGGGCCGCAATGCTACACACTCTTGCGAAAACCAATTTCGACTAGCAAAATCTCCTGCTGGACGAAGTCCAATGATGAAGTTCGTCCAAATGCCGGTGTGAACATAGGGGGCATGGCCTTAGTACGAATTGGTGCCGCTTCGCTGCCAAATTTCTGGAGCATTTCAAGTGTTTAAGCGACTGACTCCCCAAGGACCACAGGTCATGTCCGCACTGCAGGCTTTGAAGAGCACCACCTGACGAACAGCATCGAGTTGTACCCAAGGCCTCCGAAAGTTCTTACGGCGTCTTACGAGGTCCCAGCAATCGCGAGCGCACAGTAGACAGCAATCCTGGCGCTGAGAACATGATGTCACTAAAGCGAAGAAAATCCTAATCAATGATCAGGCTGACCGGGGGTATGGCACCACTTCCTGAGCAACGCATACACCAAGGCTGAAGGAGACTCCGATAATACTGCAACCAGCGGAATCTGCAGAAGCAGTGCACATACTATGCCTCTATACGGAATTTGACCACCTGGTCTGTACCCACACACTTGCCAAGAATCACATTCGGAACTTTCGGATTCGAAGCACCTTCGCAGACACCGGCATCTCCCGAAGCTGTATTGTTGCTACGAATCTTTGGCTCGCACATGGGAGCGATTGGTCCATCGCTCGTGGCACCTGGCGTCGGGAGCATTCCTAGCGGAACTGGTATGCGACAACCAAGCTCAACAAGTTCAGACTAGACCCGCGACAACGATAACTGATACCAAGTCTTCTGCGTGCCAGGATTGGAGCTGCTGCTAACCTCGTAAGCAAGCAGCGCAAAACTGCTGCGCGATTCGATCGCTTCCCCTCTAAGCCAGGCACACAAGCACAACTAGCCAGAACACTATCGTGCCGGCTTTCACCGAATTGTGGTCCTTGGTAGCCGCAGGGTGCCAATCTCTGCGTGACCACCATTATGCATCAAGCAAGCGAAATGAGGGAAGCACTGTCGTCCTGGCCTTGCGCTCGATGCGCCAAGCCTGGTATGTGAGGAAGCAAAACTTGCAGTCAACGATCTGCGAGCTGTTGGCCAAGCTCCCGACAGCATTGTTTGTTTGATCCTCCAGGCGTTGACGTACCTCGACACACAACTCAGCGGAAGGCTTCATCCAACTGAAGACATTGACTGCCACCTGCCTCCCCAACTGTCGGGCGGCTATCCCATGGAGGCTGGAAAGGCATGATGCTGTCGTACCATCTCCTCGTATCGGCAGGGGCTCTTTTCGTGGCCAATCGCCGTCAAACAGTTATCTTTTGTCAGCTCATCACCAGCGCGACATCTTCCCACAGCAGTTGCATGAGTCACACCCCGTGCGCTTCCCGGCCCTCCTGGGGTATCGCTGCTTCAGGGTTTCTTCGCTGCCTGGGGATTCTTGCGAACAGCAAAAGCGCGCGTCGAAGCGATGCCATTCAAGGATTCAAGGCCTTCTGCGTCTTGTGCTCTTTGAGCCTTCTGCCGCTGCATTTCTTGAAGACCTCGCACAGCAGTCCGGCTAAAACAACAAGTCCGTGTTGAGAGGACGGACCAGTTGCAGGCTCCGCACGTGTACTCATCACATATGTGCTCACAACACGCTCCTTGGTCTAGCCACTAAGCTGCTATGCCCTCTGCGATATTTATGCATCCTGAAACATCCCGAAACTGCAGGCATGTCTTTCTGCAAAACTATCGGGAATGTTCTCTGCTCTGGACTTTGCAGAACGCATGCCACTCAGACTGTAAGCGGTCGCATGGTTATGTGCCGCTTGCAGATGCTGAGGAGTTTGCGCGCTGCTGCCGGACCTAGGATGGATGCAATACTCGAACAAGGAAACCACTGAACAAGCGTTCAAAGACGAGATCGGGCCGAGGTGCTACTTCGGAGGCCGCCGCGTTGTCCTGCTCGCTTTCAAGCAGGCTCTGCTGCCTTGGCACCGCACAAACCAGCAGGCCCGTCTTGATCCCAGTAAGCGCATAGTAATAGTATTTTGTCTGGGTTCCGTGCGCCTTCTCTTGCTGCTCCGCCTGAAGTGGCACAATCTATCGGGGCGTCACCAAACATCTATTTTGTTCCCGATCTCGTCAGGTTTGCTCGTGAGCTTGTTGACCTGCACTGCTAAGGCTCCTGAGAACAGCGCGACCTTCTGGTAGTAAACATCATCCGAGCCCGACCTGCTGCCAAACACCTCATACGAGCCAGGTGCAGGAGTTGCAAAAGCGGACCCAAGCTCTGTGCTACAAGGCACCGGAGCACAGCCACTCCGGTCCTTCGTCTGGGTGGCACCAACCTCAGGCACCAGAGCTGTCACAACGTATGCGAAGCAGAACAGCACTAGGAGGAGCACCGTCGTGCCAGCCTCGCTCCCTGACAGTCCCAATCGGAGTAGCAAACAGCTGGCACAGACATTGACATGCAGGACACGGCCAACCTGATTGGAGGGACAGTGCCATCAGGTCTCAATCTCAACCTGACGGCTCAGCCTCATGCCGCGCAGCGTTGCTTTATGATTGCCGCTTACCCAGGCCGGCCTGCTGCGTTTCGCTCAGCTCTGGCCCAACCTCGGACACTTCTCGTGAAGAAGGGCCGGTACTGGGCTGAGCATACTGACCACAATCTTTCAGAGACCCTGACGGAAGTACTCAATTTAATGGCCATAGAAAATCAACCCCACGCAGTCTATAGTTTGAGCCCATGACATACCACCAAACAACAAATGCCAGTGCGGCACAGCTGTTGCAGCAGGACTGCACTATGCATCCTTGTTTCCGAATGGAGCTACTCTCGGCGCGAATCTTGAAGGCTTGATTGCCGGCTACGGCCTCTCAGCTCTGTACAGCTATCACTCTTCAAAGTGGACGTTCAATGAAGCAAGCCTTGCTTCTTCGGCAAATGAAAAAACAATCCGTCATGCTGCCGGGGCCACAAAGCCACGTTCTTTTAATATTGTCTCCGCAACCGCAATGTCTTCGGGGGTTGTAACTTTGATGTTCGTGTACTCGCCTTCGGTCAGCTTGACTTTTTCGCCCAGCTGTTCCACCAAGGAGACATCATCAGTCACATCCAAGCCCTCCTTCTCCGCCTTTTCAAATCCTTTGCGTAGCAATTCGCTTCGAATCACTTGTGGCGTGTGGGCTTCCCACAGTAGCTTCCGCTTTGGAGTGCTGTCAACAAAGGTGTCCGACTCACCAACCGCCTGCTTGATCGTAGCTTTAGTCCGAACTGCAAGTAAAGCCGCGCCGTGTTCTCGAGCATCCGCAACCACTCTTTCCACCTCCTCCTTCGTGACGAGAGGACGTGCTCCATCATGTATGGCTACAATCGGTGCATCAATTTTTGCAAGGCCGTTGTTGACGGAACCTTGTCGTTCTTTGCCTCCTGTTGTGAACTTCACATCAACTTCAGTTGGACCTACCTTCTCCAAATGGTCTTTGAAAATGTGTTGCCATTCTTCCGCACAAACAATTACTATCTCTGCAACATCACAGGCCAAGAATGTGTCCAACGAGTGCAACGCAATCTCCAAGCCCATCAGCTTGATGTACTGCTTTGGGATGCTGGCGCCCATACGCTTTCCAACACCGGCAGACAATAGCACTACACCAACATCGCTGCCAGCCGCCCGGCAGATTGTTTGTGAGTTTGACCTTCCGCTCCTTCGAAGGCGAGCTTGGTTTGATGTGCTCCTTCTGCCGCTCAATACAGCAAACACTCCACATATCGCAACGCCAGATGCTTTCCAGTCGGCCGCACATTTGGTGAGCGACGGACATGCTTTGCCACGTGTGGGTGTTGGTGCAAGGCCAACGCGCTTCACATCTGCCACCTGACTACAAACGAAAGACAACGGCAAATTCTTCCAAGACTGCTCTGTGCTCGCGCTTCCAGGCAATAACATCCACAAACTGTAGCAGCTGCAGAAGCAGACCGCAACAAAGCGATTCATGGCGGCCCGGATGTTTCGAGTAAGTCTTGCCTGAGCCCAATGACAGCACGAGCATGTACCTTGTGCCAACTCCTAACCCAAATTTCAGCAAAAAACAACATCTTTCACTGTAACAACTTCATGAGCTTGACACTACGTGAATCAACAAGTCGCATCGGGCAGGGCCACGAGTAGCAGCCCGTTTGCCCGGACAAAGCTAACCGCCGTCCCACGGCAAACTGACTTGTCAATTTCCTGGTAGTTGGCAACTTAAACCGCTAACTGCCAGGGACACTCCCGCCTTTTTGTGGACGCTGCTGGAAAGAGTGGCTGCTTTTGCTGCACTTCGCCACATATGCAATACTTCTTGTGTAACATCTCTTTTTGTTTACGGGCCGTTTTGCGGCTGGGTGTCCGCGGTCCCGATGCAGCGACATTACCCTTTTGCTGAATCTCCATGCTGCAGCACAGGGGGGGGAGACGGCCAACAAATGGCTGGTCAACGCGAGTCGAGGACGGCATGTCGAACCTTCACGCCGTTCGATCTTTCAACCTTTCGACTGAAACTTCGGGAGCTCAGCGGGGAGCCACGAGCCGAACTTGGAGCGAACCTTCCAGATTCGAAGCTTTGCAACTTGCAAGCCTTGGAAATTTCGATTCTTTGTCAAGCTTTCACCCGAGACACAAAAAGCTCGGACGGTTCAAGCTCCATTCGAATTTGCATGTTTTTTCACATCTGCCTTTTCAAGCTGCCGCGTACCGAATGTGCCGGAGCTGAACGAACCGGCAAGTCAGTTCATTAGACCCTCTGGGGGACCATGCCGTAGCATGCCCACGCACGGGGCCGCTCGCGTGTTTGGCCAACGTCGTGGAGCATGCCTGGGTCTGCGTGGCGCGCGGAGCCATCGGGACCGAAGGGCCAGTCGTTCTGCAGCAATGGCTTACTCATATGACTGCACGGGGCGTGGCTTTGGATGACTGCCGCCGACCCTTGGTCTCCCCCGTGTCATGCGATGGCCAGCCACAAGGGCAGACTGCGCTGGCCACCGCGACGGTCCTCACCTCGTCGCACCCGGCTCGGAGGTGGGGGGCCGCTGGGGCAGGGGAGCCTTGAATTTGGTTGGCGACCTCGTTCGTGTCCGCAGGCTTAGCGCCCCAACGTTCTCCGCAATGCCGCGGCTACCGCTTGGGCGGCGCTATGCGGCGCTGGTGTCCGTCGCTATTCAGCGCGCCACCGCCCCGTCAACGGCCGGTCGGGCATAGCCGGCGGCGTCTCGCGCAGCGACAAACGCTCTGTCCGCAAACGGGGCCGGAGTACGTAGCACCGCTTTAGGTTTCCAGCCGACTCATGACCGGCAGATCCAAAAAAACGCGAGAATAACAAAAAACTATCCCACAAACTCTCCCCGACCTTCCATGCACCTGGCTGCTCCTACTGCTGCTCCTCGTCTGTTGCGTGTCGCCCTTGCCAACCACGCCTTGCTCCTGCCCATTTCGTGTCAGGCCAGTGGGCCCTGTGGGGGCCTGCGGCCTATGAAGTTTCGCAGGTTACAGCTAGAGCGCTACAGAGACCGTTAAGTCAACCCTGTGCGGTCTTTTACTCACTGGGGACTTGAGTGCAACGCGGCAGCGGGTTAAGAGTTCAGCTAAGGACAACTAAAATACAT